TTTATTTATCCTCCAAAAATATATATATATATCTTCAACTAGCAGGTCAGTGTTGACCAGGCAAAAAGTAATACAGATAAACATGAAAATTAAAACATTGCATAATAATTAATGGGTCATTATTAGGTTTAATGCATTATTATATAATTATCGCTGCATCAAATTGAAATTATAGGATTCCAGAAGATTTCATGTTAGCAGGATCCATAACAATTACCCCTGCAGACCCAGCAATTGGAAGAAATTTTAAGTTGGTAAGAAAACACTTGTGAGATTTTACATTTAAAGTTCTGTGAAGAATATTTTATTTTGTACATTTCATTACAGTAGCAAATTTTAATTTTATATAGAGATAAGGTGTTTTTTGTGTACCTACCCAAATACTGATTATTTGGCTTCATTTGTATTGTTTCCAGAAAAAAAATAATTTATTTGTAAATAATGTCATTTGGTAACAAACTATTAGTTTGTTTTGATTTAAGATGCTAAATTAGTTGATGAGTTGTCTTTATCAATTTTACTGAACCCAAAGATAAGAGGATGCAATGTTATGATTTTTATTAAAAGAAAACTGGTGATGAAAGAAACATATTTTCACATATTCACAATAACTAAGTCTCAGGAGACTGATATTTTGTAACTTTTTCTAAATTCTTTTCATCCTGTAGGCACTTTTTTTACTTCTATACCCATTATGGGTTTGGCCATACCCACAATAGAGACCAATGAGGGATGGGATCTAACACGAGTTTAACCAAACAGGAAAACTCTTGGGGAAAACTGCTTGCCCAGATTCAAGCCTGTTCCCAAAATGTTAGGCTTTACTGCCTTGGCCATCCAACCATCTTGTGTTTCTTAACTATCCACAGGAAATATGTATTTGCCCAAAATGGTTTTAACAGGAACATAGACAAAGCATTCTCTCTAATGATGGACAAGATGGTTAAGGCATCAGCCTTCTGCTCTGGGGATCCAAGATTGAATCCAAGTGGTTTATCCAAATATGTTATTTCTCACTGTCCAACTGCTTCCATTGTAGGCCTGGATATTGAAAAAGGGGTTCTCTTAGTGTCCATAGGATGGGAAACATTAAAAATGAAACTATTAATGGGAGAATTTTAATTGAAGTTCCATCTAATAGTTTTTATTTAATTATCATAACCATAATTTAAGAGAGATTTTTCTAGCAGAAAATCTTTAATAAAAAGGAATTTGAAAATAACAGTAAATAAATTATTTGAATTTAAAATAAATTTTTAATTATTAATATTGAGATTTGCTCATGAATCAGGTAAAAGATAATCTCTTCAAAAAAATTTGCAAGGTCCCTACTGTTTTCCATTATAGCACTGCAAGTTAGCTTATATTTTCTGCAGGATCCTAGTAACTGAAAAATGTGGTTTAGATCAGTCAAATGGCTTAGAAGTGTACAGAGAAGAACATACAGGCAGAAAACACACTATTTTTTATATGTAATTAAAGCATAATTAGCAAATTCTGAATTATAAGTCAATATTGAAGATGATAATGGTAACTAAGTTATTGTTGATTTGCTACACATTATAAGATCTTATGGATTTTATACATTATCAATATTACACCTTAAATCCTTATATACAGTTAATTTTCTTCTAGTCTGTATTGTTGGCACGCCATTTACTTCTCATAGATGTGCTACAAAACTTCAAAAACATCATTAGATAATGCTAATAAAATATTTGTATATATATTTTATCATATAAGAAATTTTCATATTTCATTTATGTGTATAAGATCATCAATACAATAATAGCTCATTGGTGCACCACCAAAAATTAGAAGTATTTATTTGTTGAAACCGTGTCTTCTTCTTGTTCTTGAAAATAGTTTCATCATCTTTTAATCCATATATCAATAGATATGGATTAAAAGTTGATGATGAAATTATTTGTCAAGTGTCAATAAATTCACCAAGTCGTGACATTGAACCAAGCAAAACAATATTAAATATGTTATGTTGAATATCTGTTAGACATTAATAAAGAAGAAAGTTTGTAGAGAAGCATTGGAAGCGGCTATCTTTTCTTATAAGAGTCAGCCAAGGCCTTCGTTCTTTTATTCCTCCGCGCGCGCATGAAATTTGCTTAAAAATTCCTGCAGAACGCGATGGGAAACAACATGGTGTCCTCCTTGGTTCAGATAGTTTCGTTTCAGTACCCGTTACGCGATAGATTTTAAAATTACAGATTCCAAAATACTATCGATAGGTACTTTTCATTGGTACCATATTTTTCTTTCATCGTTGTCCCCAAATGCCTACAAACAGCAACTCCCTCTCATGGTGACGTAGATGCGGAGTCACCGCTATTAACGAACGCACCCAAGAATTGAAGAAGGGATTCTGAGCATAGCATGAATTCACGTCACTAGTTATGATTCAAGGTCCAAGACCTCGCTTCTGATTAGTTTCTGACGTCATGTCCTATCAGATCTTATTTTACAAGTGCGTTTCCGACTGGCTCATTTAGATATCTGATTTTTCGAACACTCCCATTGTCAAGAATCTGAGTTCGTATTCCACTCGAACATTCAAGCCAAATTCGAATAATTTTTATTGTTTACATATAATGACCCATTATCGTCCAGAACTGAGTCACTTTTATGCTAATAAATTAAATCATTAGAAATATTTTATTAAAATTCAATTTTTACGTTTACTTTCCTCCACTAGAGGGATACATTTTATAGCAGACGAAATCATAATCGTTTAAATACTCGATTTGATTGTTGTATATATTTTATTTCGGCGTGGATATATTTAAAATATCATTAAAAATAATTTTTAAATTATGATAAAATTATTGTTACTGAAAAAAATAAAGATTATGTAAATTAATTTATATCCCAATCGGAAAAATTTACGAAAGATGTCGCTACTGGAAACAACCGCGTGTTTATTGAAGTGTTCCTCATGGACGTCGTTGGGTTGTGTTGACATGGAAGAGAAGAGGAAGGGTTTTCCTTGCGCTTTATGTAACAAGAGATTTTCTAGGAAAGATAATTTAAGCAGACATTATTGTCAAGTTCATAAAATTATTCCAGATATCAGGAGGACTATTTATTGCGCTGAAGTTAATTGTGGATTTAATACAACATATAATTACAAATTAAGAGAACATTTAAGAGACGAACACGAACTTGCTTCGTACGAATCAAGAAAAATTATATTCGAATCTTTAGAAAGTATGTACTTTCCTCCACTAGAGAGTGGAGGAAATTAATTTATTTTGAATATATTCCTCCAAATTTTTTATAAAGTTTAATTATTAAATGTCATTATCTTCTTTCTATTCTGCATTAGAATTTTGGGAATGGAAACATCAAGTCGAAAAAGCAAGTTGTTCAAAATTTTTCCAAACTAGTAAGAAGAAATTAGGTTCTGGTTATAGTAAATATTATTTTTCTTGTAACAGAACTGGAATTTATAAGCCAAAAGGAAATAACAAGAGAGCTTTGAAGTTTCAGGTGATTTTATTAATATTGTGGTCCACAAAGTCCTTATGTATGTTGATTAGTGTTACTGACATCCTTATCCATGTTGTAAGTTTGAAATCGTTGATGTAGTCCCTTATGACAGATTTCTGTCTTTGTCTGAAGTAGCATTGAAAAATTTTCTTTATGGATCTCCTATGTGAATTGTCACATGCTAGATTTGTACTTTGAGGAAGCCACAGTAATCTCATCTACAGTAGTGGAACCATATCAGATTTTAAGAGCCCCAAGTTAAAATTTAATATGAATTGCTACACATTTTAATAAATTTTTACTTTTAAAACTTATACAACATATATAAATCACTGTATCAGTAAATAACTCCACAATTAAATTATTTTTATTAACTTTTTTGTTAAGGGAAAGACTTGGACCCCATAGTCCCCTCCCTGGTTATGCTGGTGGCTTCCTACATTTGTGTGACCAAAAAGACTAATCTTATGCATAGAGACTTAGTGACCACACCATATTATAATTAAGGCTTATAATTATTTTCATATTAAAAAAAAAAAAAGTGAACTATCAAATGTCAACAGCATTAAAATTTTAAAAAGAATAACACTAAATAGTTAAAAATATGTTTGATATATATGCACTCATGTTCAAAAAGTAAGCAATAATCATTAATTCGGCATAGATCTCTGGAACTATTGATCAAAACACTTAAAACAGAACATTGTATTCTTTATGCAGCAAAACAATTGAAAAACAAAACTAAATTATATCAAACCAAAATTAACAAAGAAAAAATATTAAGCAAAACAAAATTAACAAAAACATTAACACGATGTTTTTCTTGCATGTACGAGACCTGTACAGCATATCTCAAAACATTGACTCTGTCAGAGCTAAGTACATTCTCAAACAAGAGTATCTTGAAACTCCTCATGTTCTTGGAAGAGGCTGATGGGATGATGCTCTTTTCCCTAAAGCATCCCAACATGTTCTATGGAATTTATATCTGGAGGTTTTGCTGGCCATTCCATGTGGCAAATGTCGTCATTGTCAAGAAAGTCATTGATGACTGCAGCCCTTCTGTGCAGACATTTTCATCCATAAAAGTGAAATCTGCACCCACAGCATGTCAGAAAAGCTGAATGGTTTCCTAAACCTTGTATCTATACCTTCTTATAGTAATGGTACATCTTGCATAAATGTGAGCTCAGTGTGGCAATTAAACATAATGCTGCCCCTTACCATAATACCTCCACGTACAAACAAATGCTTTTTTATGATGTACATGGGACTATATTAGGTTCTCCACTCTCTTCAGTTTCTAATCAGATAAGAATCTTTGTCTGGATTCTTCAGTGAACAGAACATTGTCCCATTCATTCAAAGCCAATTTTGATATTTTTGATACTTTTAAAATGGCTTTTTTGTGCACAGGATTCAATGGAATGCAACATATTGGACATCTGGAAAAAAATGATTATTTGTCTTGCAATTTACTGTAGACAGTTGTATAATTCTAACACCAGTGGCCATAGACTGTTCTGTACAGAGCTACCTAACAAGTTTTCTTGTTATTGTCAAACCAAAGTTTCAGAGAGTAGTAGAATGATGCCTTTTCCATCTTAGCTGTACTGTACTTGCAAAATTGCAATGATCCCACTGAATTTAATGGAACATTTCCATATCAATCCATATTGTTTCCAGACTATATAACCCTGAATGTTTTTGTATGAAGTCAGTACGTTATCAGTTTTAAGTCAAACTTTAAAGCTGACTATGCTATATTATCCAATATATGTATAGTACTTTATTTACTTAACAATGACTTCTCAGTTATTAGAACATATTGGAGAAGTTTAATATTCATAATTTTTTAATATGTGGAATTACTTTTAGATATTGAGAATAATAATTCAATATCTAGTAATATCTGTTTTTCTCAGTAAAGAAATACAAATTCAATTTTAAAAATGAAACAAGCTAACTATAACTAGAATATATTTTTAAAATTTTTATATATATTCAACATCTCCTATTTGTTTTTATTTATTTTATTTATAACACTTTATACTCTGTGGGTGCTAAGCAGGCCTTTTTCGCAAGCCCATTGTGGTCTTGGCCAGGCCTGCAATTGGGCAGATATAAGGCCTGGCGTATCTAGATAGATCGATCATTCCTGAAAAATTCTTGGTGTTTTTGACCCATTTGGATTTAATTCCAGGTCCCCAGAGCAGGAGGCTACCACCTTAGCCGCTTGGCCATCTGGATGTCCAATATATTTTCCATTGGGGATGTGCTGGATATCCCTAATATCATAAAAAGTTGTAAGACATTCTTCCAGTTGGATATATCTGTGTGTAAACTGTATTATTTGTAAGAAACGATTTTTTAAAATGTGCCAAAAATTTAAAGTCTATTTATATCACAGATCTCTCTTAATTTATTGTATAGCCTAACAGTAATTTTATTTTTGAAGATTCACATTTGTACTGAAGACTGTTTAAAATTGTGCAAGGTTATCTTACCAAATACATAGAATTTTTTTTTTTAATTTTACAGGGAAGCTGCAAAATTAATGGTCACTGTACTGCATTTATCATATGTATAGAAGAAGAAGAAAAATGCATTGTGGAATATTGTTTACAACACTATGCACACAACATCGAAGTGGGAAATTTATCGTTGGACGAGGACGAAAACCAGGCAACCACTCGCGATTCAAATAAACCTAATAAGCAGAAAAAACATAAAAGGCCAACAATATATTGTCCAAAATAACCTATAGCACTTGAATGAAATTTATAAGAATTATTTTGATATTTATAAATTTATACTGTAAAAAGAACTGTATTATATTTGTTAACAAATGAAATAAATTTTTGTTTTGTTTTGTAACATGTTTTGTTTTGAAGAAGTAAGGCAAGTTGTAATTTTTGGAATAGAAAACTATTTCCAAATTGGCACATTATAACATGCATCCAGGATGTTTTCCCCCCTCCTTGCAAATCTATATTTGAAATATTTCAATGTTGCATCTGGTTAACTTGTTTTTCAAATAAGTCAATTAATATAATTATTGGTTTAGATCAGTCATTCTTAAATTTTCTACTGCTTACAAGTAGTAGAATCTCCCAAGAAACATTTATTATTATTTAAGTGGTAGAATTATCCCATTCATTTAAAATATATATACCTGTTAAGTTATAAGCATTGTACTAAAAGTGAATGGTAATTTTCATTTATGACAGAGTTTTAACTCGCATTTTAAAAGCAGTATCTTGCGCCTTACCTGCAGAAATAAGAACTTGTGCTTTAAATTTCTCTTAAGATTATTGGATTCAAAGAAAAATTTAAGAGTACATCAAGAATTAGTAGTCTGATTTCTTAGCTTGATATTAATTTCTAACAAAATTTCTCTGACATTTTAATTTCTGAATTCAGTAATTGAGGAGAAACATTAATGGCATTCGACGTCAGTAGTTTTGGAGGAGATGGAGAGGGGTTTGTTTGTCGCACCCGTTGATTCTTTTTCTCCCTAGTCAACACAAAATTGTCTGAAAGTACCTGTGTTTTAATTTCAGGCCTGATGATGTAATTAGAATGAAGGACTGATTTCTAATGACTGATGTGGAGTTCAATTTAATTCTTGACATAGTTTAATTAATATTCTAGGTTAGGTTCCTCGCCTAACACCACTAAGGTCTCGGGTTCGAGTGGGGGGGCAAGCCAATGATCCTGGTCTGGGGGTCTCGCTGTAGGATGTGGTTGAGAGTAATACGGTAAAAATATTATTTTACAAATGGAGCTGCCGTATATAAAATGGAAATGTTTTAATAAAACGTTTCAGAAATCATGTAACGCAAAAACGTACACGTGCGCTTAGAGATAGGAATAAGTATGATTTATACGTAGACCGGAAATGTCTTATGACGTAGGAGGGAACTATGAATAGGTATTAAGCAATGAGCATCAGTCATTGATCACCCGATTGTGCCAAGTGCCTTCCAGTTCCTTCTTCGTTTTATTAAACCTCACCGCCATTAAAAACTGTAAAGAATAATGCATTTAACAACTATAGCGAACATCTTCGTATTCCAATATCACGTTGTGATATTGGAATACGATAATGCCTACTATGAAAAGTTGACATAATTAACGGAAAAGTGGTTCTGCGATCTAGTGAGAACAAATAAAATAAAATTTGTATATTGCCTGGCATATTAATTAAGCGAAAAATATTGAAGACATTGGTTTAACTGTTCTGTGTAAAAAGAGAGAGCAAACGTCCTGAACATGCTGATTGGTTTAACTGAACCAATCAGTACGTTCAGGACGTTTGCTCTCTCTTTTTTAATGGATATATAAACACATTCATCTAAAAGTAATTTTCAATGATTGTCTTATAACGTGGATTTTAAGTGCTTAATGGTACTGTATGTGATGTGAAAAGAAATTCTTCCACAAGTACAGTAAGTTGATTGATATTTTGATATATTTACATTTTTGGTTATTTAAATCGTACTAAAGAATTTCGACGTTTTCTTCATTTTCTTTTATATATTGTTAAGATGCAGGTGTTTGTCATTCAATTATGATAAAACAGTCTATTTACACTACTGTCATGCTGTTAAATAAGGGACGTGGTTATGTGCAGGGCTGTGGAGAGCCTGGGAATAGAAGGGGGCATTTTTAAAACAAGTTATATGTGTAGAATGTTTCGTTATTAATTAATAAAAAGCAGTCTTAAATATTTTATTTTTTTCAAAACGAAAACATTAAAATTTTTCCAAAATTAACAATGCGTTCGAATGGCGATGAAATGCTTTCTCGAAGCGAATTGTTAAAATGCATCATTACGGGTGATGAAACGTGGATCTACGCTTTGACACCGAAATAGCTCGACAATCGAATGAAAGTTGAAGCAAGACTGAAAAGCCCACGTCAAAAATCAATTCGTGTTGACTGTTTTCTCTGATTCTTATGGTGTTGTTTTATGAGGGAGATGAATTCGTTTCTTTCTGACGATTGCTGGCGATGAGAGGAGGGACAGTGAGCCTTTGATAACGTAAGACTGCACCCGTTGTTTATTTTTCTCATCAGTCATCACAAAATTGTCTGAAAATACTTCCTGTATTCACATTGGCATGCGCGTGCCAACGCACCCTATCTGTCGCACATTGGCTGGCAGACAAACATTTTCCGATCGTTTTTCGAGGTTTCTTTGCTTGCTTTCTTCACTTTGTTACGCTCGTGTTCTTTGCAAATCTACGAATCATTGATATTATTAAATTTTGATGCTTAAAGATAAAGAGAATGGTGAGATAAAGAGGGTCATTAAAAAATTTTAAGTAACATTATATTGTCATTGCTCTATTACGTGATGCCTCCAAAGTACAGCAAGATGCCTCAAGTCTTCGGCAAAAGTAAGAACTCGGGAAAAGCGTCAAAGATGTTACGTCACGGGCGTTTTGAGGTACTTACATGATTACATGATGCAATAGCCTTCTCTAGGTATGAAATGCTGCGAAAATTAAAGTGTAGCTCGCGTAGTGTCGTCATAGAAATCCCAATTTATGTTGTTACAAAACATGAAAAATAAATGTAATAAATAGAGATTATTATTATTATTAAAAAACCCATATTTTGATATCTTTTTCATCTATTTTTATTGCCTGATGAATTTATAAGTTAGCATTAATATATATAAAAAACCAAGATGCAAGATGCATTTATAAATTGATCATGCAATAAAAATAGATGAAAAAGATATCAAAATATGGGCTTTTTTTAATAATAATAATCTCCATTTATTACATTTATTTTTCATGTTTAGTAACAACATAAATTGGAATTTCTATGACGACACTACGCGAGCTACACTTTAATTTTCACATTTCATACCTAGAGAAGATTATTGTACTGTATCATGTAATCATGTGAGTCATTGTGACGCCAGTGACGCCACATCTCTGACGCTTTTCCCGAGTTCTTACTCTTGCTGAAGACTTTGTGCTGTACTTTGGACGCATCACGTGATAGATCAATGACGACACAATGCCATTTAAAATTGTCACCAAATTAATATGTCGAGTTAACAAAACTATTTATAAACGTCTGTAAAAAAAAAACAATTTCGCATAACTTTCCTAGCTGTTAAGAGATTTTATTTTAAAAATAACTTTTATATTATTAATCATACTGTTAATAGTATGTGGTGCGATTTCTTATGAAACTTGATAATAAAAATTGTTTATGTTAATTACTAGCAGATGAGCCCGGTGTTACTCAGGGGACGGGACACTACATATGTGGACGGACAGTGGAAGTTTATACGTCTACAGTGTTTTGCAAACTATAGCCAAATAATTTTTCTATAAACGCGATATTTACGAAAACATACTTCCCACGTACTTTATACAATCTGTTTCAAAAATATAAGCACTTTTGTATTATAAACGATTCAACTGACCAGATAATATGGTACAAATAACTCTTTATTAATACAACTAAACACTTCTACATCCAGCTGGTTACTTCGAGCTCTCTCCTCGCTTTTCCGTCCCGCTACCTCGGCATCTACTCGATTACCTTTCCTTTGTTTAATTAAATCGTCAACATATATTATATTACATTTAATGTTTATCTAAATCATCAACATATATTACAACTTTATTATCACATAAAAGCAATTTTTCTCGCATTTTTACAATGTTTTTTTATTTAAACAAGTTTAATTTTAAGTCTTTCGGACGTTAAAGTTAACAACTTCAATCAGAAGCGGGACCATCACAACCTGTCTAACACGGATCACTTTTCAAATATTAATAGTAGATCGATATTAAAATTCTTATATTGGTCACTTGGTGTAATAAACTCTTACGTAAGATAACCTTTGTAATTATAAATCAAATACTATAATATAATATAAGGGTAATATGTACGAAATAATCTAATAATCTTAATCTTTGCTGTTATTTTTTGCCTTGCCATCCAGCCGCCCCATTGTGGGCCTGGCCGAACTCATAATGGGCTTGCTAAAAGAGGCTCTCTTAATGCCCACATGGCGAAAAGAGTTTTAAAAAAGTGCCGACAGGACGAAAAGAATTTGAAAAAATACTCGCAGAGAGGATAGATTTTTTTTTAAAGTGCTAAAAATAATTATTATTTTATTACATAAAAATTAAATTTATAACAAAAAAGCTAACAATATAGATTTTTTAAAATATTTTATTTATAATATTTTATTAATTAATACACAGGTAAATAACATTTAAACCGGAAATTCGCAGAATATTGTTGAGTACGTGCACCATATCTGTTGATGGCAAATTAATTAATATTAATTTTTTTTTTCTTTTGTGAAGCAAGTTTTACGAACCGAAACTCACGATGTCTATGAACCCAACATGTGAATCGCACGAGCCCAAATTCCCGCGAGTAATGTCAAACTTTAATATTTGTACATTTTAAAACTAAGAGAAGTAATAACTGTAAATAGTCATATATTTAAAAACGAAAATTTAAAAAGTTTTCTTGTATTTTAGTCCTTGAATCATGTTGAAACTTGTCATATTGTCTAGTGCCATTAGGTAAATTATATATTATAAACCTTTACCTAAAAGTAACTTTCACTCATTGTCTTATAACATGGATTTAAGTGCTTAATGGTACGTGATGTGAAAAGAAATGCTTTCCACAAGTAAGTTGATTGATATTTTGATATATTTACATTTTTGGTTATTTAAATTATACTAAATCATTTCGACATTTTCTTAATTTTCTTTTATATATTGTTAAGATGCAGGTGTTTGTCATTCAATTATGGCAAAACAGTCTATTTACACTATTGTGTTGCTGTTAAATAAGGGGTGTGGTTATGTGCATGGCTGTGGAGAGCTGTATGGTGCCTGTATGGTGATTTGGACCTTCTTTTTAAATAAGTTGTATGTGTAAAATGTTTCATTATTAATTAATTAAAAGCAGTCTTAAATATTTTATTTTTTCCAAGGATGTATCTAGAAATTTCTGAGTGTGGATCACCCACATTGCTGATTGTTTAGACTCAGCATTTGAGTTGATTACCATAAAAATGCAATTGCTCAAGATCACTTACAACACATTATTGTGCCAAGAACTGTCATATCGTGCAAACCATCGAAACACATAATAATCTATATCTATATATATATATATATATATATAAATGGACATGTATGTCCCTATATTTCACTTTTTCGCCAAAACTACACATCGTACGTGAATGGTGTTTGTATGTAGTGGTAGCCCCGAGTCTCCATTCGTGCACCAGGGGGGTTGCGTCTCGATAGCTATAAGGGTGTGGGAGATATGGGGCTGAAAGTGGTTGAAAGTGGCTTTCTATTTCGAATGTTTTGTTCGAATTTGTTCGAACTCAATTTGAACATACCTCCTCAACCATTCAC